ATATGCAGGAGACAGGATGAAACAGAGAATATATTTGTTACTCGGTTCACTGATAGATTCTCTACTGGGAAATGATACTGGACAACCTATTGAAGATGCTGCTTTACATCTGCCTTCTGACCCTGTTGATTTACTCTTTATGCTGGGGCAAAGGAGTACAGACAGTTTAGATTTTTCTCCTTGTCAATCTGCTGCTTTGCTAATTATGTACACCAGTTCACTATATGACGAAAGGTAGTGAACTACAAAATCCATTTGAGTCTTATTATCCTCATTAACAATTCACAGGCATTTCTTTTGTCTAACAATTTTCTGATTTTCATTGCTAGACTTGCAGATGATAAGTTGGTTTTAGCTTCTCTTGAACAATATGTTCTACTTAATAGCAGTGATTTTCATGATTGGACAACTGATAATTTGATGGTGACTCGATTGGTGAATCTCTACAGTTTGTTGAGGGGTCTTGGCAATATGAACTACCAAATTCACTATAGTCGAGAAGCTGAAGAGATTATATTCCAGCTCATAAACAATGGCAAATGGGATTTACTTTCTGCAAGAATTCACACATTATCATTGAAGTGGTTGTTTCAACAAGAAAATATAACCCCTTCACTGTGTCATCAGATTTTGAATTTCTGCAGAAACTACAATTTAGAAGGGGATGCCGTGATTATTGGAAACAGTAACCAAACAGTAAATGTACAAACACTTGCAGAGTTAGTATCCATTGAAGATAACTATGGAGCTAGAATTTTCGTGTGCTTATTGGCACAACTCGCTGAGGAAGATGGCCAGGAACATGACATAATTTATGTTCTGAATCTAATGGCAACTATGATTCATATATGTCCAGCTGCTTCTAACCAACTATCTTTGCATGGAATAGGGACATCAATCAGGACTCAATGCTTCTCGACAACAACTTTCATGCCCATCTTGATTTTAGTTTTTAGCTCTTTGAGTTCAGTGCATCCTAAAACACTATTAGCTGATCAGAGTTGGGTTGCAGTAACCATGAAGGTGAGTTACTGAATTTCAGTTATGCATGTTACATCCCATTTTCATATACTGAAATGTTAATTTATTATACAAAGTTGTTAAGATTATAGAATTTAATGACTACTGTCATTAGATTCTTCCATATGGGACTCACTTTTCTTTTAGAGTGGCTTACTGGCATTATATTTTTTATTTGGCTAAAGTACAGTGCAAGTTTGTTCTTTCCAATTTACTCCTGCTTTAGAATTAGTTCTCGGACTTTCTAGTTGTGCCAATTTACCGAGATATTTATCAGACTAAATGTGTTTTGTAAGGCCATCTCTCTTTGACTAGGACTTTATTAAGTTTTGTTGATATGGATGTCATTTTCCCAATTTTTAAATTTGCAATCTGATAGAAATCGTCACTGAACAGAAACATTGGATAAATGGAATACTTTATTGATAATAATTCTGATGAACAATTCAAAACCAGAATATTACTATTACACACCTTACAATAGCTATAAAAAATAGGTCAAAATATTAGGACACACCAAGATTCGAGTGCTTGGTTCTCTCCCTCCCAAGTGTCCAACACTCACAACTTCAGAATAATCAGAACATGGTTCCCTTCTTATCCTGCCTAAGTTTTGTAACTGCTACTAATAATAATCATTGTCAGTTTAATAATACTAACTGTTGCTCCTAGACTCTATAATTACTACAGATAACATTTATAATGGCTGCTACTATGCCTGTAACTACTACTTGACAGCATTTAACATGCTTTATTTGTACCCCTTCTTATAAGAGGTCTAACACAATCCTGAAGGATGTTTAACATCCACATTTTAGGCAAGGCAAAGTCGTAGTGTCTATATGGCAATGATTTTCTTTAGTTCTAATAACATGTACCACTTCTGCAGATGATAGAGTACTCCATTCTCCCAATAAAGGACGATGTCTTAAGTCAAGAAAGTCTCTTTGTGATTGGCATTCTCTCCTTAATCTTACATCTTTCCACCAATAAAGTACTTGAAGAGACTTCAAAGCCCATTCTTTTTAATACTTGTATAATATCTGTCGTCAATACTATAGTCTGTGCAGCTTCTTCAAAAGGACCTGCTTTGGTTGACCATGACGAGGGAACAAGCACTGGAGAAACTTTAATATTTGTTCTTTTGCTTCATTACTTTGCTGTCAAAAGGTAAGCCCACTTGCCTCAGTAGTAGTAAAATAAAAGAGGACTTATCCTCTTCTTGAAGGGGCAATTTCTGCTTGAAGGGAGTAATAGTTAATACAAACTAGATAAATTAAAATAATGATTTGAAATATAACGAAATTGGTGTTGGAATTACTTTAACCCTGATAAAGATTCTCAAATTGTGCGGGTGTCTTATAATTTATAGAAAAAAATAGTTAGAGATATTGAAAGATAGGAAACATAATAGAAGGCTGAAATATTTTGAGATGAGAATATATAAAACCAGACCATCTGGTTATAATTTGATATTTCCAAATTGCAAACTTTAAAATCTGTCTTTAAATTGTATCAGAAAATATGTTTACATTCAATGGAGTAACTCATAATGCATACTTCTTACGTCATTAATGAAAGATATGGATCATGGGAAAACAATTTAAAAACACACTCACTTCTTTCAATACAGAATATATCAATATTTTAATATAATTTGTTATTCAAAGTTATTTACTTATGCTTTTATAAGAGAACATGTGACTTTTAAAATAATAACTAGTTAGTTAACTTACTGTCTAAGAAAACAAATGGGCAGGGAAAGCAGCATCCTTCCAAAGTAGAGATGATTTACTAAGGGCCTTACCCTAACCATTGTTAGGGTAATGTAAAGTTAGTTCTTAATGTGAGTGTTAGATTTGCTAAATAAATATTAATTCTTAATTAGAACCATGTGAAAAAGAGAAGTTGGTAAATTAAAATTTTCACAATCCTCAAATTCTGTTAATAATTTATTTTTTAGCAATGACATCAATTCATTAATGATCAATAATGATGAACATAGAGTTAAACTTATAACTCTTGACCCTTAAACATGGAGTTGAACTTACAACTCACACTTCCATTTTTTTATATTATTATAAATTGAGAATTTGTCGGACTTGATTGTGACTACACAAGAATTACTCTCGTAGGTATTATTTTGAGTTCTTACAGTAAATATTTGTTACGTTTTACTTTCTTCGTAATTTACTCTAAATGTGAAGAGATCTATCAATGTTGCAACAGAAATATAAATGATTTCTAACATGTTGTCAATGCTAAATTCTCTGTTCTAGCTTGCACGCTATCCTACCCGGGTTTGTGGATTGGCAAAACTTCCTCGTTTCAATGAATTCATCTGAACCACTAGCCTTCATAGGCATTCGTTGTCATGACTTGTGCAGACTTCTGCATTTTGGTTCTCCTGTGGTCAAGATTATTGCTTCTTATTGCCTGTTAGAATTGTTCAACAGAACATCTGATCAAATAAACAGCAAACATGAAGAGTTGAAATGTACATTTGGGTATTTAATGTCCATAAGGAATATATTGGAAGGGCTGGTATTTTATAATGAACCGACAGTGGCTACAAATTGTGCACTCTGCCTGTCAGTTCTTCTGCAGTGGGAAAATCTGGGAAAGGAAACGGAACAGTTAGGAAAGAGCAGTTGGTTTAGATTGATTATAGAGGAGATGACAGTATCTTTGGCAGCTCCTTCTGTAGTATCACAGTCACTCACAAACAGTCAAACGCCTGCAGTCCTTATAACTATCGCGCTGCTAAAACTGCATAAAATCCCCCAGTGGATGAGATCTGTTCTTAATAATTCATGCATATCTGGCATACTGGAAAATCTTGCTGCTACTGATTTGAGCTCGGAAATTTTGGTTTTATTTCGACAACTTTTGAAGTCTGATTTCTTGAGTACCGAGCAAATTGCAACTATAAATCAAATACTGCAGGTAACTTCCTCCTTTTCAGCCTTTTTATTTTTTATTTTTGTAAATTACATATAAAATTTCTTCCACGTGTTTCAAATCTAAAAAAATTCTTCCACATGTATCAAATCTATTAGGTCTTTTTTTCTCACAAAAATCTTTAAGGTCTATTGATACTGATCATTGGTGATTTAGCAAAAGAAAACATAGGAAACATGCAGGTGCACGGGTACATTCAAATAATATTGATCACATAGTTGTGCCATTTATGTATTCACAGGAATGCAGAAGACATATGTACTCTAATAACAATGCTCAAGACGGTCTCCCAAGTGAACCTATAAAGAAGTTCCCCGCCATGCCATATGATCTTGGAGATATTTGCCGGCACCTCATTGATTTGATGGCATCTGAGGCATATTTAGATATGGATTTCTGGGGATTTCATATGGGTAGTAAGAAGCTGTTGGAAGAAATAGAGTTGTTTTTTAGCACCTTGACTGTAGATGATGATAGTTGTAGATAACATTAGTGATGATGAACAATGGTAGAGCTTGGTTGGTTTTATTGAGGGGGCATCTATTTGCTGCAAACTACTTAATTTTCTTTTGAATTTCTAGCTGTAAAATAGAGAAATGGCTAACTCTTAAAAAACCAAAACTGATAAGCAAAGCAACCTGTCTAAAGATCAACAACATCTAGTTGTGATTTTGTTTGCCTTTTGTGCCCCTATATATGTGTAAACTAGAAATACAGATTTCATAACAAAACGGAGAAAAATATTTGATTATCATCTACTATTACAAGGTTAGCTACCAACTCTAGTGCCGCGCCTCTTGAATGAACGGTAACAGATGCATAATAAAATGAAATAAAACTCACCAAACATGAGTTCTAGTTAAATAAACTATTATCAAACAAAAAATGCATTAAGTTCATATTAAATGAACTTATTTATTACAACTTCTAATAAATCTCTAATGTACCACACTCGATAGCATGTATAGTTCTAGTAGTAACAGTTCTTGATAGGAAATACATCAATTACATTAAAGTTCTTAACAAGACATATCTCGAGCATTAGTTCCACACGAACAAAGAGTACCCGAGTATGATATAAAGCGAGGATGAAGTCCACAGTTGTGCTGACCTATTTCTTCTACCATCATAAATTTTTCATCACCCAAATCACAACTGTAAACATTCCGTTCATCACCATAAACCCGGTAACATGAGGATATTTCTCCTTTAATCCCAATGCTTTCACTCTCTTTTACAAAACCTTTTGCAAAATACCTTATTCATAATCTCTTAAACACCACACAGTAAAAACAAATTTATTCAATTTCACCAAGCAAATGGATTGATTTGAGCTTGATACTTTGCCCCATTTGAATATGCCCATGATACAGTCTTGACAACCTTTTATAGCTTCCTTTGGCAACTTAAGCATTTCTAAATTTCCATTCTCTAAATTATAAGACATTATATATGGCTTATAAAAGAACTTGATTTTGCAATGTAAGGAGTACTATCTGAGATAAAATGAAGTGCTCCACGATGAAACACCGGCATGTCAAATTTCATGGTCCTTCCACCAGGGTAAAAATTATGTTCATTGTTTTCCACACACCTTCTTTGCCATAATAAAAACATTGCATGTATAACATGTTGGCCACCAACCAAATGGGATTTCAAAAAGAAACACCGAGTAATCATCTGCGGATCCGTGAGAACAATCTAACATGAGATTTATACTACAAAAATTACTACTTTTTTGAAGTGACTCAGGAGTAGAAATGAAAAGGCAAGACTTTGTAATTGGGTTGCATATAAACAACTCAATTGGGTCATCACTAATGGTGTGACAAAGAAGCAAACCATTACTAGAAGCTAATACACAAGCTGAATTTGATAAGAATGTAAGAGCATTATAGGGGACACCCGAAGATGGTTGCTCCTTAGGTAAAGAAACTAATTCAACTCTTCATAGAGCCTAACTTGATCCGGTTGAATAAAAAAACACGAACCATCGGCCCCCGACAAATTACGAGTCTGTTTTGCTCTAAAAAGAGTTTCTTTTGGAAAGATTGAACATGAGATGCAAGTTGATTTGAACCTCCATATACTTTTCGCGGGTAACCAAGAAAATATCTCAAAAACCATGTCTTGAGGTATTTCCATACTGCCAAGAATGAAAAGAAAAATAACACAAGAAAAAGACGGCTAAGAAATAAAATAAAAACAATATTAACAAAGTACAAGGAAATGGAAGATGATGATGGAGGGATGTTAGGGTTTAAAGAAACTAACAAACTCTTCTTACTATTGTTTTGTTATACGTAAAAAAGGTAACTAACTACTAGTAGTGGTTTTAAATAGTAAGAATTGCAATACCTTGGAATGCAAGTATCAATATAACGGCATTTAGTTTCTTCTGATTTTTAAAATAAAAATAAAAGATTTAGTTTATTTATAAATAAACTTGATTATATATCGAAAAGATAACAATATATTATTTTTTAAGATTTAGTTTTACAAATGTGTAATAATATACGGTAATGGATTAATAGTATTTTTTTAATAAAAATAAAATTATAAAACAAATTATAATAAATATTTATGATCTTACCGGATTAGAAATGGACCGTCACAGCTAGTTCGGGTAGAAGTTGAATGAGATAGAGGTATCTGCAAGACACTCTGATGGCAAAGTAAGTTGCGGAATGAGCAAGCAAGTATGAGTTCAAAGAGATGTTGAATTGAATACCTGACCCTCTTAGGAGAGATGGTATTTATAGCCCCCAACGCTGGGCCAAGGTTCCCACTATTGGGCCACGTTGAGGTCTAATAACAGGAACTGTCAGGGCTTACGTGTGTATGGAGTCCAGCAAGTGGACTCTCCCCTGGTCAACTGCTCCGCGAGAACAGGGTTGGACCCGTGATTTCCAGAGGGCAGTTTAAGATGGCTGTCGTGGGATCGTGGGCCACGTCCTCCAACGGTCGGATGGGGAGTTGCCCAACGGTCCCTAACTTGGGCTGTTTTTGGGCTTCCCGTTCGAAGGACAAGTGTAGGCCCAATCCAGATCTGGAGCCCCCCAAGTTATTGCCCTTGAGAAAAAGGGCGGTGACTTGAGTTCAGATCTCGACACCGGAGACATGATCGAGGAAAACGACCAAAGTCCCCCGAAAGGAACGGGTTGTTGCCCGCGTGGGGGACAGGGAACGAGCGGGCAACGAGGCCGAAAGGGGTCAGCCACTTGCTCGAGAGGGAGTTATCGATATGTCGAGCATTACTTCATCCCCGAGGTGGTCGAATGGATGTGCCCCAATACGCACTCTAATGTCGAGCATTCCCTCGCGTGGGTATCTGTCTCGTGTGCGTCTGGGGATGACGCGTAGGAGTCAGGCATATGCTCGTCAGTCCGGAAGGGACGCGTGGTTGTCAGTTGAGTCACGTGGCTAATGCCTTTGGGTGCCACCCCTTCAAGGGGAAAGCAAAAAGGCCCAATGAAATGATAACCTTTCATGAGGAACCCCTTGGGGCATGGGTCACCTATAAAAGGGGGTCCCTGGGTCTCATTTGGCATCTTCTCAAGTTTCCTTTCAACTTTTCTTGCTCGTGGTGTGAAGCGATCATCTCAACTTCCCAGATTTCCTTGCTCGCCGTGCGAAGAAATCCTCTCAACTTCTCAGATTCTCTTTGAGTTCTTCATCCAAGTAAGTTACAACCTCTTAACACCACGTTTCTTAAGCATTTCTGGATTTAATGTCTAAATTACGCCTTGATTGAATGAACACTTATGAGTTTTATGATGAATACTCATGAATGTTCATTGGAGTTCATGGATTCTGCGACGAGCACTCATGAATGTGCCGGGTACTTTATGAACGTTCATTAGCTATAGTGTCGGGGTGGCCTCCCTGAGTAATGTCTGTAACACAGGGGATGGCTTCCCCGGATATAGGGATTATCTCGGGCTTCTCGCTCGATGAGTGATCATCCCCCCGACAACATGACCTCCCAACGTCATAGTCCGATTTAGCGTGTAGTCGAGGGCTTGGTTTGAGTTCGTCGCCCTTTCACTTGATCTGCGGTGGAAGGGTGGATTTGATAATGTCGAATTCACTATTTTCCCCGCTTTTCAGGTATAATGGCGCACTCAGTCGGGGACGACATTCTGGCCGCCAATTATGAAGACGCGTCCCACACTGACGAGGATCCTTTGGCTTGGGTTGCTCTTGAGCCCCAGGATAAACGTTCGTGCTTTTCCCAAGATGCGACGGATGTGTTCAATTGCCCGGAGGAACGCCCAGAAGGCCCCCTGCCAATTGGATGCTCCAAATGCCCCATCGCGGTCGAAGAATATGCTCGATGTACCCGGGCGAACGGTTCCCCATGTATGAATTTACTTTTAAAGAGGAGGGGATGCGCTTGCCCTTCAATGATTTTCAAGTTGGTGTTTTCCAGTGGCTTCAATTGGCGCATTCTCAACTCCATCCGAACGCGTTGGCGCTTATGCAAGCGTTTGAGCTCGTCTGCCAGTATCTGAGGATAGGCGCCACACTGCCCTTTTTTTCGCATCTTTCACCTCCAAAGAAAATCCGTCAGAGGGGGCAGGCGTGTGTATCGTTCAAGCAGTTCGGGAAGCTCTTTCGGCCTTACCTGGAGTCTGTCCGAAATTTCAAAGAGAGGTACTTCGTTGTGAAGCCCATGACGGACGCGGCCATAGATTCCCTGTATACTCGTGTGGAAGAGGTGGAGGACGGGCGGCCAGTTACCCGACTTATGGCCAGATTTCCGCTCGAATGGTAGTGGAAACACTATGAACAAAGGCCCGAATATTATGTTGTGAAACCCGAGGACCTAGACGCCCAAGACCAGCTTTCGTACGAGAAGCTGTAGGCTTATGTCAAGAGTATCTCCCCCGCGAAGTGAGTGGATGTGAACAACAACCTCTTGTTAGACGACGAGGGGGAGCATCTTTTAGTCAATAGGTTGATCAGCACAAAGGCCTTGCTTGAGTGCTCATCAAACGGGGAAGCCATGAGGCTTTTAGATAGGGGCGTAGCCTAGTTAATTTGCTCATCTTTATGCGGGGACGTGCTCGCGCTATTTTTGGTTTTCCAACCCGACTAATGATTCTTTTTAATTGCAGGTCAAATGGCATCCCTTTCTGAGCATTTTTTGAAGTTGAGGCCCAAGAACGCGTCCACCTCTGGGCCAAAAAACAGAGTCACCCAGCTTCAGGAACATGCCAAATCTTTCGGTCGGGCCAGTGGTTCCCCTTCCTCATTAAAAAATCCAGCTTCCTCTGCTGAACCCGTCCAGATTCCCGTCAACGAGCCCGGGGCTAAGAGGAAGCGTGTGGATAGCGCTACGGGTGTAACTCCCGAGGGTGACAAAGCATCTGCGGGGGTCTTTGTATTACCTCCTTTCCATCTAAACCGTGATGTCTTTAGCGAGGAGAGCTCCCTCGGCGTGCGCAAGGAGGAGAAGGAGGCAATCTTGACTGAAGACAAGGAGGTTCGTCGGAAGCACTTGGCTGAGGATGTGGCCGCTGTGATAAGGGTGCTCGAGACAACTCTTTCGCTAAACAACGAGTCCTCGAGTGCTCAAGCCTCTCTCGACACGACCTATGCCAAAATCCACAAGCTGGAGGCCAAAAATGAGAAGTTAAAGTGCGATATCCTCAACCACGAATCAAAGTTAGAGGCCCAAGTTCGGCTTCTCAAGGATTTAAATGAGCTGAGACCTCAACTGGAGGCCGCCACTAAAGAGAACGAGCGTCTGGTCGCTCATACCTCAGATTTAGAAGGGATCACTACCCCAGCCGAGGATGAGACCGATGCAGAGAAAAACATGGCAATCCGGGAAGATTTGATCGCTCGCATCCACGTGCTCGAACAAGACGTTGTTGATACCCTTGGCTACGACTTCAACACTGCCGTTGAGCAGTTGAAAATCTTGAACCCGAGGGTTGAGATAGTGGTCGAGGGGGCGGGTCCATTTAACCAAGTCGTTAACGGGAAGATCCTTTATCCCCATGATAGTAGCGACGGGGAGGATGGAGCTTGATTGTATTTTTTATTCAGGTCATGCGTGTCCGCTGTCATTTTAGGGTCTGCGTGCCCGCTATCATTCATTTAGTTTTGTGGTCGTCGTGCCTAAAATGTAATTTTGAACAACGTCGTCCCTTGTGGTCGGCATCTTATAATTGCGTTGTTTATAACTGTTTATTTGATGAATACTTTGTATAACCTTTGGATATATGTATCCGACCATTGTTGTGGTCGTTATGAATTTGTCATGAAGTTCGTGTTTTTCGTGTGGAGATATGCTTTCGACCCTAATATCAGTTCGACACACTTCGAAATGTGTCGAGGGCGCAGAGTAGGGATTCGCGGGACGGGTGTATGATCGCGATCGGGATCCTACGCTCGTGGCGTGAACTACCCACCACGAGCTGGGTGTTCTGCCATGTTGGGGTACTTCGACAGCAAAGCTCGATCGAGGTGTCCCTGTCGGGCAAGGATGTTGCTCGTCAAAATGAACAACATTATGCTTTTGTTGGTTGGTAGGTCGCGTCTGTACCTCGACTCGCCTACGTGGTCGAGCTTTTCCCTTCATCGACTGAAGATGAATATTCAACGACAAAAGTCCTCAGCAGGTGAGGGACTTTAACTATAATATTGTTTTAGCTTCTCAATATTCCAGGGTCGAGATAATGGTTCTCCATTTAATTGCTCGAGGTAATATGCTCCAATTCCCGTAGCTCCCTGGACGCAATAAGGTCCCTTCTAGTTTGCGGCCAACTTTCCTTCGCGGGAATCCTTCTGGTTTCTTCGTAAGACTAGGCTGCCGACCTGGAATTCACATTTTATGACTTTGCTGTCGTGGCGTAGGGCTACCTGCTGTTTCAGCGTGGCCTCGCGCAGGACTGCTCCTGATCGAATTTCTTCAATAAGATCGAGCTCGTCTCTTAGGGCCTCGTCGTTCATCTCCTCATCGAGGGGCATTTCAGTTCGCCTAGATGGCTCCATGATTTCTACTGGGATGACTGCCTCAGTACCGTAAGTAAGTTGGAATGGTGTCTCACCAGTAGTCGAGTGTGGCATTGTTCGATAAGCCCATAAGACGATGTGTAATTCTTCGACCCATCCCCTTTTGGCTTCGCCTAGCC